AATTAATATATTAATTTGTATGCTAATAGTAATATATACTATATATAATTTACACTCAAAGTAGAAACTCTTAGTGCTGCTCTCTTCTATATTACTTGCCATATCCACACATATAGACCTCTCAGTTCATTATATCTCTAATATCAATACTGACTCAAACGAGCTTCAATCCCTCTGAAAATTTCTTTGCTGTTGCTCTGAGCGCTCAAGGAGAGAAAAAAAAGTGGATAGGCAGAGTAAACGATGTCGACTCTCTGCTGTATATAAAGTCAGCTTTCGCTCTGCTTCAGTTCAGTTCAATGTCAGTTATGTGTGTGTGCGTGTGTGTGTGTGTGTGTTTGCTGCCCAGACAGGACTCAACGTCAATTTGACAGCTCCAATGCGTCTGCCTATCATCAGCAGCTCTCGATCGGGTAGCTTTGTGTCTTGTGGAGGCTCGGCTGTTGTCTTTAGCGCACGCTGATTGTTTGCTAGCCAGACGCACGCATATTGGGACACAAATCAAATGAAACATGGCTCCAGCTCTAGCTGAAGCTGTTGTACTCGTAGTTGTAGCAATAGCGGGCCATCAAGGGGGTCCGAGTGGGCGCCAGTTGGCTTGGGTGGTTACATCAACCTGTCGACAGSCACCTGCCACCTGCCACCTGCCAACGGTCAGCCTGGTGCCTGACTACCTGGCTGCCAGCTACTTGTCTCGATTGGTTTTTCAGTCAACTCTGCTGTTGCTGCTGTTGCTAGGTCAACATGGACTGCAAAATGTTTCGAACTGGTGACCAGCCAAATGACCGACTGACGACTGGAAAGCCGTGCTCTTAATTACCACAAGTTCGAGCCGCGTTCATGCCTCGCCTGCAAGGCATTTTAATTGCCCCGAAAAAAAAAAAAAAAAAACGAAGCAGCGCAATAAAGAACTCAAATTTAGATTTGGCAGCAGCTGACTGCGATGGACGGACGATGGCCTTAACTTACTTCAAGAGCTACTTGAACTTAACGCAAATTGAAGTGGGCCCGGCAGTAACTCGAGCTGATTAGACACGGAGGCATTGGATACCACCATAGGCGCTACTAATAGTTGCTCAGTCAAGCAGAAGATACTTTAGGCAATATATCTAGATACCTTAACAATGAATTGATTGAAGTGCTACTACGGCACTGCTATACAAATGCTGCAACTAACACACACACACACACACACGCAGCTTCATACCACTTAAACAATAAAAATAGATTCAAGTACTTTATGTAAATCTTGTTAGGAGCTTGATTTGCATGCCAGCTTACAGCAGAGGCGGAGTGCAGGCGAGTCTAGGCAGGGGCATTTAATCAGCATGCGTAACATGGGCAATACACTGATTCATAATTCAAGAGCAATTATAGTTGTTATCGCAAATATATTCTAATTGGAGACCTAGTTGGCCACTGCTTGATCTGACTTGCTTTAAAAATTGGATACAAGTTTTTTTTCTTATGCCCTAAAGCTCGCATGGGAAGTTTGGATTTATGCTGTTTTGAAGATTTGGCCTTTAGTTATTAACCTCTTGACTCTTGGCTTGCCTGGGATTGGGAAAGGACCTATTAATAATTGAATCTGTTTGCTTTGTCTTCTGGCTCATTTTAAAGCTTAAAGCTTATTTCAAGTTCACTTTGAGTCTTTAGTTCATAGCCTTACCTAAGTATCTACTCTACTTGTCTAAAGTCTTGGGAATAATTGAATAATTTATCTTGAATTCTGCCTCATTTTAGAGCTCAATTTGATTTCATGTCTAAGCCTTCGATGAATTGGTACTAGAGCTATACCTGGTGTCCTATTTCTATTTCTATATCTTGATTTTAACTACTCGAACTATTGCCACTGAGACCTGATTGTTTAGCTTCATTGACCTACATTAAGATTATCTTTGGGTTCAATTTGTTGCTTTAATTTGCACTCAGTTTAAATGATTATAATACGAATCAATAGTAGACTCCAAAAGTTTTACTATAGTCAGATATGGTCCAGTTTGCCTTAAGGTTCTATTCAAACATGAGTTTGCCCTTAGCCTAGGCATAAACAGTGCCTTGAGCTAAGGTTCTGCGAATCATAGTTTTTTCTGTAGCCTAGGCTTACTATACGACCCATTGTAATACCCAAAGACTAAGTTCTGTTTGCACAATTCAGTGCCCAAAATTTACCCCTAGGGTTCAAAGTTTGTCGAGGCCTTGTCGAGGCCTTGATTATGCGTCCATTCAACTTGAACCTTTGCCATGCAAGCTGCAAGCCTGACTTCAGGGTCTGCCTGTTTTGTACAAACCAAAACCTTTTCACTTCATACTTGTCAATGAGTATATTTACGTCTCAGCGCAATACCTAAGAGCCATAGGAGTAGAATGTAAATGGTATGATTTGCAGTTGGCCTAGATGACGCGTTGTGGAGCGTATCGTTGATGAAGTCAATGTGATACCAAACATCCGTGTAGAGCGATGGCATTGCCTTTGCGCCGCAACCCAGACGCTGCGATACGATGCCCACTAATGTATTGTTAGCCATCAGTGGTGCGCCCGTATCGCCCGCACATGGGCTCTCGTCGGCGCCCACTTCGAATCTGCCAGCGCAGATTGTCTCGGGATGCACAATTTGGAGTATTTTCTCACACGCTTCATGATCCAATAGCGTTACACATATATGCAGTAAATTACCAGATAATGGACCACCCTGTGAATTGTAGTGCATTGTAGAGTGGTTCAGTGGTTCCAGTAGTTCAGTGCTTTAATGGTTCAGTGGTTTCTCTTACCCTATACAGGCGACCCCAGCCAAAGACCATATGCTCAACACTAAAATTGGGGGCTGATTTGGGCAGTTGTACGATATCGATGTTGGGATTATCGGTCGGCCATGTTTTCGTCAGCCTCAAAACCGCAATATTATGTTTGAAGTTCTTTGTGAAATTTTTGGATACGGTAATTTGTTGAACGTTTCTCACGACTGTGCTGGCGACACGGATCAGACGATTTGGCGTACCGCCGACTACGACAATAGCTCGGAGCTGGTGCGGTACCATGAAAGTGCTACACAAATACAAATACAGAGATGAGCAGATTATCACTCCGAGGTATACTATATACATATATGTATGCATGTCTGGATGTATGTGGCTCACCTCATTGTACAGGTAGCAGCGGTTACAACGTACCGCGGTGCTATTATAGTGCCAACACAGTAGTGATTGTCCCCGAATCGAATCTGTGGCGTACGCGAACGTATGGAGACAACATATTTGGCCGCGGCATGTGTCCGATCGTCCAAAATGGGTGAAGTCAGACGTTTCGTACGCCTCAGTATTTTGCTTTCGGCACGCAAATTCGTTTCCAAACGCACAAAGAGCAACAACAGCAGCAGCTTAAAAAATATAACCGAACAATTGCAGTTGTGCATTTATGTGTTGAGACGTTGCCCGCGAACATGATCTTTCCCATCGAGTGCAGGCGATCGCGGGTGTGTGTGTAGGGTAAACTTGTGGGAAAAGAGGGGTGGGCGTATTCTTTTTTTTTGGTTTTTTTTTTTTTTTTTTAGATTTTCTTTTTTGAGTTTGACAATAAAAAACAAGTAAGTGTACAGGAAGAGATGCCCGGAAAAATGGCAACAAACAGATCATACGATTATGCCTATGTTACTCTTGGAAATAGGGGAGGGTTAGAGGTAGCTATCCGAAATATTAAGTATGCAACACCTATGCGCTCAATACAGGAAAATTGCATACACTCATCTGTTGTGGAATTCAATCTACGCTTAAAAAATGTAGAGCATTTTTTATCGATAAGAGGGTAGAATGAGTTGTCGAATAGACCATCGGAGGAATCGATTAAATTTGTTCTCTTGATCTTGTTCTAGAATCAAGACTGTTACGCTGAGAAGCCACTCACCGTGATCACGGTGGGTTAAGGTAACAGAAATGATGAGTACCAAATTTTATTAATTTAGACATTCGAAAAAGACAACAAATAAAAATAGTTCCATAAGAAACGCAAGTGTTGTGAAAGAAAAAACGAGAATAAATATGCCCAATAGATTAGAGAGATGTAGACAGTGCTTATAAAATTAAACATTCAATATATTTACAGTGACTACATAAATTTAAAATACTAGCACAGACAGTGAAAGCAGGACGATCTCTGGAATGCATTGCCAGTCTGCAGCACTTATTATACTGTTGATCCAGTCTTTATGATAATAGACATTCGTATAGACCGATGGCAGAGTGGGTCTGGCACAGCCCAAACGATAGGTGGTAATACCATAGACGACATTATTCCTGATCAGTGGGGCACCTTCGTCACCCTGACAGGGACTCTGATGGATGGTGGGGTCCTCATTCATGCCGCATAGCATTTCCTCTTTGAAGGTTCTCAGCATCGATTTGCAGGTGGCCGTATCAAATATGGTAACATTGATTTGCAAAATGAGCGATGATAATGGTCCACCCTAATAGTTAGTATCGAAAATAGATAACGATAATCGATTGCTAGGCTCCGCTCCGCTCACCTTATACATTCGACCCCAGCCCAATAAAAAATAGCTTGAATTGACAGTGGGATTCTCATTGGGTATCGATATAATGGCAACGCCTGGATTTGTTGTGGGCCATGCTTCGGTTAATTTAAGTAGGGCAATATTGTTCGTATTTTGGCTGGTGAAATTGATCGGTACAAATATCTGCTTAACTGGCAAATTCACAGATTTGTTATCGATGAACTTCAGACGGTTTGGTGTGCCGGCTACCACCATGATCGTACGACTTGGATATTTAAATTTGCTCTTACTAGATAGTGTATGATTCATGCAAAGATAGGGGATATATGAAATCAATGCTTAATGTTTTTCAATATGGATTATTCAGTATCTACCCACTCCATGACGCAATGTGCAGCTGTCAAGACGAATCTGGGTGCTACTATCGCACCACCACAATAATGATTATCGCCATAATATCTCTCCGGTATCCTTGAACGTATCGATATCACATATTTGGCCATCTCTAGTGTTTGATTCTTAAAGAAGTCAGGCGTTGACAGCCGTTTAACTCGATTTTCAGATAATATTGGATCCAAAAGTATTAATAGCAATAGTATCGTCTCTTTCACTGAACAATTTCGGCAGTTCATGTCCAGCTCCAACAGAAAATTTTGAATAAATTTCTTTCCGAATTTATCTGTTGACCACTGTTCCCATCCTTCTGCATTGCAAACTAATACAATTATTAGCACTTATTAAGGCTATTTTCAATATTAATATGATTTGTATTGAATTTATAATACAGTTAGAACAAAAAACAAGTGCCTACTGTCAACTATTTCAAATGTATTTTGTGGAATATTTGATTTTTTAATGTTGTATTTTTCACTACAAAAAAAATATGAAAGAATCATATATGAGGAGTGCTGGGATAAACACCCAAACAGAGCTGTTGCTCTCAGCATTCTTGTCTTATTGGCTATTAACTGGGCAATTTCCATTGGAAATCCGTTGCATATATTGTTGCATTTTCAATTAAAATCGATAACGATATGTGGTATAAATTATCGATAACAAAATAAAGGACTTATATTGCGTATACATATTGATGCATTCAAATAAGGATATATTCATGGATATATTCAGATACATGTAACGGTCGGGGTGGACGAGCAAAGAGAAAGCCAAAGATGGAGAGAGAAAGAGACAAGTAAATATATAGAGAGAGAGGGAGACAACACACACTTATGGCCATATCAATGTAGTTTTCGGGTCTCTGCCTAGCTCATATCCTTTACCTGTTATATAAATTCACACAGCCAGTATGCGCGTTATGCCCATTTTCGATTCAAATCAATTTGATGGAGCTTCCCACTTTACGCAGCTAACTTGTTGCTGTAAACAATGCCAAATGGAGTTTGATTATTTGATGAACGTCGTTTCTATTTTTGATAGCATTTGAAATATGCCGCTCGGCTTGGCCAGTTGTCTATCAAGTGTTGGCCAAAACATACTTTTGCTGTAGTTAACGAGCAGCGTGAAGTCCTTTTAGTTGTTGTTGTTATTGAGTTTTTGTGTTTTTTGTTTTTGTTGTGGCATTTGAAGTTGTTCGAGCGAGCAACCCGGCTCAATGTCAATTCAGTTGACAGCTGTAACGGCTAAGCACTTGACTATTGTAATTTCAAATGTGTCGGAGAGCAGCAGTGGTTGGGAGTGGAGCAGGAGTGGAGATTGGTGGGGTTGGAGGTGGTGGGGTTGGAGGTGGTGGTGGTGGTGTAGCTGACTGCTGAAGCTTTTATTGCTTGACTTCCCTTTGCTGCAGTCACAAACTCTTTCAGCTGTATGAGTGTGCGTGTGTGTGTGTGTGTGTGTGTGTGTTAGTATGCGTGAGCGCTCTCAAGTATGTTTTAAGCAAAGTTTGCGCATAAACTTTTTACCAAAAGTATTTGTGGCTCAAATATTTTCATTTGCCTGTGGCAGCTGCACCAAATAATTGTGGCTCTCACCCGCTCTCTTCCCCACTCCCTCTTCCTTTCTCACATTCGCTGTCTTGTTCTCGCTCTGCTTGCCTTACGGCCACATCGTGACTGGCCGCTTCGCTGATTTGTGGCAAGCAAATTTATTGACAATTCATGGCGCCAGCACCACCACCACCATCTAGAACCACTCAACAGCCACAAAAGCTGTTCAAGCGTTTTCTATTTTTTTCATTCCTTTTTATTTTTATTTTTTATATACTTTTTGCTGTGCTGAACTTTGGCGCAAGTTTGTCGCAAGTTGCGCTTTCCGTCTGGCCGGGGCTGGAGCTCATGACAAACTGCCTGACCATGTAAGTCGTAGATTTTTCATTTTTCATCTTTAGCGGCGCCTCGAACTTGCGCTTGAATCTCTGCGCCCAGCAGCTGGCCAAAAAGACAACAAAGTTTAAATTAATGGCACTCAACTATTAGCAAAAATTAAAAAGCCAAGGCGTTTGCCTAGCACAGCGAGAGAGATAGAGAGAGAGAGAGAGTGAGAGGCTGATGTGTGGAGTGAACAAACTTGTGCTGGGCGTGGCAGCAACGCCCATTGTTTTTGAGGCCAGAAAGCAGCAGCAAACTGTGCGCCAATTAGCGCCGACAGCGCTTTAAGTCAAGCAACAGGCCAAGCGGAGGGAGGGCAGGCAGAGCGCAACAGTGAGTGGGAGTATGTGAGTGTGTGCAGTAAAACTTTTGTCTACATGACATGGAAATGCACTTGCACTTGGCCAAAAAAGATGGCCAAGCAAATATGATTGCAGCTGCAACTGCAACAGCTGCTGCTCTTAACTTGGTCAGCCGGCTGTGGCTTAAAGTGTCAGCAGCTCAACACATTTATAATAAATGTATGCAATTGTGTTAATAAATTAATTGGACTGATTTGTATATGAGAAATGTGAGAGTGTATATATAT